TTCATTATACTTGGAATGTGTTCTGGATGATGTCGTCTATTGGCTTATTCTTGATTTATAGGCAAGTTATATGTTTCTGTGTGTGTGTGTGTGTGTGTGAGAGAGAGAGAGAGAGAGAGAGAGAGATTTAACTGGTAAGCTTGTTAAATATTCATATTCATTTGCATTGATTTTTAAGTTAATTTTGAATTTCATCTCTCTTTTTTGTCTTGTTGGATAAGCTAGAAATTCAAGAACAATTCTAAATAACAGTGGTGGCAATGGGCATCCTGTTTTGTTCCTGTCTTGAAAAGTTTCCTTGTTAAGCACGATACTGGCTTTTGGTTTGAGATATGTATCAAAGCAAATATATATTTGCTAAGTAAATATCCACTTATTCAGATATTTTTACAATTTTAAAAAGTCAGCAGTAACTGCTGGATTTTATTAAATATTTTTTAGCATCTGTTTATATGAATGTGGTCTCTCTGGCACGAGCTCTCTGTCACTCCTGGAACAATTGTAAATCTAGAGAAAAGTTGTGAGTACAGTAAAAATAACTGTTTCTCTGGAACCATTTGAGAGTCTGTTGCTGACATCATGCCTGTCAACTCTGAGTACCTTTCTGTATATTTTCTACAAACAAGAAATATTCTTTTACATCACCACAGTACAACTACCAAAACCAGGAACAGAGCACTGAAACATGACTAACATCTAATCTATAGATCCCATTCAAGTTCTGCCAAATGTTCCAGCCATGTGCCAATAATATCCAGTTCAGAATTACATGGTATCCATATAAAAAATTACACACAATGTTTATAGCAGCATGATTCATAATAGTCCAAAGATGGAAACAACCGAAATGTCTATCAACTGATGAAAAGGTGAATGAAATGTGATATCTCTATGCAGTGGACTGTTACTCAGCTGGAAAAAAGGAATGAAGTATTGATACGTGTTAAAACCTGGGTGAACCTTAAAAACGTTATGCTAAGTGAAAGAAACCAGCCACAAAAGATGATATATTATATGACTGCATTTACGTGAAAGGCCCAGAACAGGCAAATCCATACAGTGAAAGTAGATCAGTGTCACCTAGGGACTGGGAGGTCCTGGGAGAGGGAGCAGGGAGTGATTGTACTGCGTGCAGGTTTCTTTTGAGGGGGGTGAAAAATGTTTTTAAATGGTGGTAATGATTGCATATCTCTGTGAATATAGTAAAAACATTGAAATGTATACTTTGAAAGGGTGAAATGTATGCAATGTGAATTATATCTCCATAGAGCTGTTAATAAAGAAAAGACTTGGTGCTGCATTTACCCATCATGTCCCTCTTGTCTCCTTCAATATGGACAGTTGCTCAGTCTTTTCTGGGCTTTCTCGACCTTGACCCTTTTGAAAATTATGGGACAGTTCTTCTGTAGATTGTTCCTCAATTTTAGTTTATCCGCTATTTCCTCATGGTTACGTTCAAGTTATGCATCTTGGCTGGAAATACCACAGAGGGGCTACTGTGTTCTGTGCATTGTATCTTATCAAGTGGTACAGGATTTTGATTTGTCACAGGACTGACAATGTTCAGTTTGACCAAGTTGAATAAGGTGTTATCTGTCAGGTTTCTCTCCTGTGAAGTTATTCCTTTCCCTTTAAGTAATTTAATTTTGTGGGAAGTTACTTTGAAAGGGTATAAAAATTCCCTTTTTTCAATATGTATTTTTTAATTGAAGTACAGTCAGTCTACAATGTTGTGTGTCAGTTTCTGGTGTACAGCAGAATACTTCAGTCATATGTGAACATACATATATTCATTTTCATATTCTTTGAATTCTATTCTTTATCAAAGGTGCATTCATTTATGATATCCGTGTGAACCTAGGTTTTCATACTAAATTTGCCATGTTATGATCCCTTGGTAAATATACCTTTTGATGTCAAATTATCTCAGATTTCACCAGTGGGAGCCCCTCAAAATGGCATCTGTGTTTTTTTAGTGCATCCCCCTCATTCTGTAAGTGATTCCTTGCTCTCTGGTACAGGAAGATGCTTCGGTTCATTCCTATGTCTTCCTCAGCCTTTGAATCAGCCACTTCCCCAAGAAGTCCTGGTTCCTCTTAGGAGAAAGTTTTACTTAGAAACCAAGAGTTGATCTCTAAGGTATGCTTGCCACTTTGGGGGTTTTATTGCTCCAAACCTTTTTCGGTGGACTGAGCTACAGAATATGTCAGTTTATGTCTATATGACTTTCTGTGTTCATCCATCCATATGTTGAAAACCATGACTTTATAGTGATACTGTTACTTCAGTTCAACTCCATAAGTTTATTCTAGTTTTCTGCCTTTCCACATTTGTAGCACCCTCCTCTGAGTGTAAGAAGTCTGACTTCTGTTATCCTTAAAAGAGTTAGCTATATGATGACACCCTTGTGTAAAAGCAGTCTTCCATTTACCACCACTGCTCTCTCCCCTGTGTATGCCTTCTCACAGCAGTCAAGTTCTGACACACACCCTCTTCTTTTTGAACTGAACTACTGGCTTTTGGACTGAATTGGTCAGGAAAGGGAAGGGGGCAGGGTAAGGAGGAGGAAAAAGCTGATTTTCTCTTTGACTTATAATTTGGTGAATTATACTAACAGGTTTTCCTAATATTGGCTCATCCTTGGACTTCTGCAGTGTGCCCTGCTTTGATTTTTCTCCTCTTTCATTTAAGATTTCCTGATAAGTTAATTTATTTTGCTGACCTGAAAAAGCCTTGGCATGTGAGAAATTTTCTTAGACGTTCCCTTAATTTCATTCTGTTTGATTTTTACAGGGGGAATACATGGCTTTCTCCTCGCTTCTTTGCATTTTCCCAGTGCCTTTGATCTTGGAAATGCTACCAGAATGATGGCTGCATTTCCAGTGGTGGAAATGATTGATACGTCTCAGAAGCAAAGACTCATAGGACATCCACTTCCCAGGGGTGATGTATGACTCTCACAAAAGCCACACCATTATTTATAATACACTAATGAGGTGGGGTTTTTTTCCCCATAGAAACAGAACAGGGATTCCTAACGTTTCCTGGAATTTTTCTCCCCAGAAAGGAAAGAAAAAAAGAATTCAACTAAATGTCCATTTGTTAGCCTAGCATTGGAAGGGACGAGTCTTAGAGAATAACTTATGAGTAAACCAAAAACCATCCTTCATCTCCTTCACATCAACCTGACCCTGAAGAGTTTCCTGGAGCTCACAGGAAGGTTTATTGAAAAGATAAATCTGCTTTGGAGAGAATTTATATTTCAAGGAGAGATGGAATTTGGGGAAGTGCCACATAGATATGTGTCATTCTACAAATCATATTTATTGTCAGTGACCTGAAGTCTGGAGTGTGTTATGATGGTTAAATAATGTCCATGGTTTTGCTCTCCAGGAATGCTTTTGTTCCCCACCTTATCATTACTACTCTGTGCTGGGTCTTTCAGGCCTCCAGAGGATAAGTTGCTTATATTTATCTGAGTAGTTGGTTAATTTTGGAGGCAATCGCCTTACAGGTATGATTTTCTTCCTTTGACAGAGAACAAAGCCTGGATTCCTATCCTTTTTGTTTCCTTATTCATACTTTGTTTCCCATCTCCCACCAGGCTCTTACCAATTCTGTTTAATTAAAGAAAATATGATTGATTACGTATGTAGATGCCTCCAAAAGATCTCCATATGCCCATGTGTGCTCATGTACATACACATATCCCCACAGTACATGTGTACTTCTGTGTATGTTCTTTTTTATTTTTATTTTTTGACTAGGTCTTTCCTGAAAAAAACATTTGAGTATGATAAAAGCTGCCTAAGAAGAGGAAGGAAGAAGGGGTGGTACTTCTGGGTTATGAGGTTTGAATTTATTTTTCCATGAACAGTAGACCACTGGGGAACTGTGCCTTCCTGTGAGTTGCATGCTTCACCTGTGCCATTGGCTCTGGTGACCCACAGGGAGGGTAATCTAATGATCCAGGAAAGGAGATCTCAGAAAACAAAGACTAAATTGAAGTCACATTTTGGAAGCATGCTCATTCATAAAACTGGGAGATCACATTCACTTCAGAAGTCCATCAACTAGAATATTGTCTGAGCCTGTGATTAAAACATTCGTTCATTTAACAAATATTTATTGAGGCTCTTCCACGTGCTAGACCTCATCCCAGGTGCTGGAGGTGTGTTAATAAGCAAAGATAAACATGGTCCTTACTGGTAAATTTAGCAACTGGTTTTCTAGAAACCAAACCTTGATTTTTTGTATGTGCCAATTTCAAGCTATCCGTGTTTTGTGTCACCTGGCACAGGGTAAGGACTCAAAAAACGGCAAGCATCATCATCATCTTCATATCTTGATCATAATTGTCATCAATAGGCTTGCTTTAACAACATACTGATAAGAAACTCCTGATCTTTGGGCAGGTGGAGGACATCTAAGATATGCGCTGAAGAGTGTATGTGTTTAAAGGTATAGAGAAGGAGAGACAGGTCTGAAATGATACACACTGGATTTGGTATGATTACCTCAGAAAGATGTGAGATTCAGGGGAAGATAGCTAACAAAGTGGGACTTTCTTTTATCTTTCTAAACTAAAAATCTGTAAAGTTTAAGTTTTCGGAGGTATGAATTTTATAATTTTTAAAGAAAGGATTCACATTGTCCAGGTAGCACAAGCATAGCTCTGACGTGATGCCAGTCCAACAGCGACCAAATGCGCAGTGGATGAAAGACGGTATTATTACGGGAGCATCAGATACCACAATATATGAATCACTGTGGCTGGAATCATTGTTAAATGATTGTTAAATTATTTTCCTGGTGGAAGCAACTTAAACTGTTGAAAGAAGATGAAGTAGAATCAAGACACTTGATAAGTATTCCAGTTGCTGCAGAACAAACCACCCCTAAACTGCAACTTAAAACAACGACAGTATTTATTTTGCTCACAGATTTGCAGTTTGGGTGGGGTGGGGACATTCTGTCTCTTCTCTACTTGGCATAAGGAGTGGTGGCTGGAAGGCTGAAGAGTGGAGTCATCTGAAGGGCACTCATTCATGTGCCTGGCGGTGGATGTTGACTGTTGGCTGGCACCAGCATGGGGCTGGGGCTGAAACACCCACGTGTGGCCCTTCCACGTAGTTGCTTATCTTCCCCACAATATGGCAGCTGGGTTCCAGAAGTGAGTGTCCCAGGGGAGAGCCAGGTGGGAGCTCTTTATCAACTTTTACGACCTAACCTTGAAAGTCATACAGCATCACTTTCTCCACAGTCTGAGTCAAGACAGTCGCAAAGCATTGCCCTGGTGCAAGGAGAGAGAACGTAGACTCTATCTCTTGACAGTCAAATAGCAAGTTTTGCAAGAACAGATGAGACTGGAAATACTAACGTGGCCATTTCTGGGAGATACAGCCTGCCCCACTAAGTCCTCTCCTTTCTGCCATTGTACCATATATGAGCAGAGCAAATGTGGAAAATTACCCAGATCCTCTTGGCTTCCCATATGAATGTGAGTATTGCAACTTCACCTTTACTCCAAAAACTATATTCATGCATTGTGAAAGCTGTAAGTTCTTATGTGGGGAAACCAACAGAATTTGAGTGCTGTAGTCTTACATTTCCCATGCTTAGCACAGTCATGGTTTTTGAATCAGTTTCCCCGTGTACTGTCAAATTTATCTTAACTTAAAAGGCAGATGGACACGTTACAGGGATGGTGGAAGTCTACCTTTATTGGTTTGACTCAGGAAGCTGAGGGGTTTGTATTATGTTTGTCTCTAAACTTGCTTCTCAAATATAACAAAAGACAGAGCCCAGAAAGGAGATTCATGAAAATGAATGGTTTGCAGTGGAATTTCCAATATTCTTCTTAAATGCACACTGGTGTCCTTATTACCTGCCAGCTACACTTTATACAAGGCTATGTTAAGTTTAATGTGTTGTTTGAGAGTCAGATGCATTTCTCATTTTTTTAATTAAGATTTGAGTCAACTCATTCATTTGTATCCCCGAAGTACTTGGTTCCCACCTGGGGATGGCATGCATGGAGCATATTAACAGTAGACTGATCACCAGGTATATATGAATTACCCATAGGGTAGCACTTAGAGAATTGTCAGAAAATAGCCAATTAATGGAATCCAGTAGATTCAAATATCATTTTATGGTATGAATTATTAGATCCAAATCAGCTGTAAATTAGATCCATAGGGATTCTAATTTTTGAAAACAGTATTAGTGTTAATTTTTATTTCTTGGAACATAACCAGCTTCTTTCCTCATTTAATAAGATGTGATCCTCGCATAACCAAAAAACTAAGCTCTTTTGGTGACTGACATGTGAAACAAGAGAAAAAGAAAAAAACCCAGACATTCGCACTGCCTTTTAAAGTGTGAAAAACAGCTTTTACCCTCAGTTGGATAAATCAGTCAAATTGAATTTTAACAAAGTTTTGCCCCCAAATATTTTCCTGTTTAGACTGATGACAACCATGAGATATTTCTTTTAAGCTAAGTCAACATTTTGTTCTTCAGCAATTTGATAAAGACTTGAAACCTCTGCCAGTCCTTTTTCCCCCATCCCCACAATGCCAAATAGCATAAGGGGCAAACTCAGCACCTGTGTCTTCCCTGAAACTGACAACATAGATGGAATGCAAATATCGTGAGCCCAAATGTCGATGTTCATCGATGAACCCTTAGAAAGAACATTTACTGATAAGCCCAGCTCAGACGGTTATTAAAACCATCAGTTAAGACAGTCAACCAGGTGGTTCTTCAGCTCACCGAGGGGAGCTTTTATAAAATACTCAGTCTTGGGTCCCACTCCACAAAGATGCTGACTCCCATGCCAAGTATGAGGCCAAGGAACCTACAGTCTTCAAAAGCTCCCCTTAGGATTCTGGGTGTCAGCCAGAGTGGGAATGACTGAACGAGAATATTTGCTCACTCTTAAAGTAATTTTTGCGAGGTAAGATGTTTTGCCTTGATAGAGTTTTTATAGCTCAGGACAAAGTAATGTTATGTTTGAATTTCTATCCTCATTATATTTGACAGTAAGAATCCCTGTTTACCCTAAACTTTTATGTACTGACTCACTGTGTCAATGCTTCTATGTATAGTAGAAGCTACAGCTTTATAAAAAAAAAAATGGGGGAAGTAATTCCAGTTAATAAATCTCATCATTGTGTCCTTCTTTAGCTTTATATTTGGGCTGAAATATATTTTATATATGTTATAGTAATAATGATAATGATCATCATTATTTGGTAGAATTTTTTTTTAGATCCTTCAGGCACCTCTGGCTGGAACTCATGAAATAAATGAACTACAATTAATTATGGTTACACGAAATGAATGTGCCATCCCTCACATAAGTGGAAATATTTGTATGGAGCTGCAAAGGATGTGTAAGATTTCTACAGGCAGAGGAAACAGAACAAACAAAGGCCCAGATGCTTGAAGTTGCTGGGCACATTCAAGGATAGGTGAGTAGCTCTGTGTAGCCAGGGTTCAAATTGTATGCGTGATATCCATGGCTTAAAATCTTCAGTCTTCAGGGATGAGGGCAAAGAATTCTATCCGGTTTCTATTCCCAATTATCTGGAGAGGCCTTTTGAAGAAATGTGTTAAAATGGATTCTGAAGGTGCATCTGGCTCTGAGCATGACTGGGAGCAGCCATGGGCAGGAAAGGGGGCAAGGGAGTACAGGTGTGTTCTGTCCCCAGTGCACATGATGTAAGTTTTGTGCAGGTATTCTTGATTTTAGCATTTTCTTTTATACCGTCTCTTAATTTGGTATACACATTCAATGTCTTTGTCCTGCTCTTGATTCTCATTGTGGTATCTTACATTATACATTGAGATCTTTGACGTATTCATGAAATGCGGATCCTCTGTTTTGTTTTGGCTGCCATTCTAACCCTACGGATGGGCACTGTGGCTGGACTTTGCTGGAGCCTTCTGATGTGGTTAAGAACCCGATGCATACAACCGAGTGTTCACTTCTGAGTTTCTAAATCAACGATCGAGTCAAAGCGATGACTGATTAACTGTTAATCTGATTTGCTGCATTTATGGATTTCCATTTAAAAGCTGATGAGGCACAGACATATTTTACTCCAGAAGAAAAAGAGCTAATACAGAAATTAGATCCTATTTCAATTTTTACTAAGAAAGTTCACACTGAGTGTCAAAGCACCAGTATTATTATACATATAAATATTGATTGGTCTAATAATTTTTCTTTTTTTAATTGAAGTATAGTGGATGTACAATGTTGTATTAATTTCAGGTGTACAGCAAAGTGATTCAGTTATACATGCACATATGTATATTCTTCTTCAGATACTTTTCCATTATAGGTTATTACAAGACATTGAATATAGTTCCCTGTACCATACAGTACGTCCTTGTTTATCTATTTAAGTGTGTGTATGTTCATTTCAAACTCCTACTTTATCCCTCCCCATCTTTCCCCTTTGGTAACCATAAGTTTGTTTTCTATATCTATAAGTCTATTTCTGTTTTGTAAATAAGTTCATTTGTATCATTTTTTAGATTCCACATAAAAGTGATTTATGATATTTGTCTTTCTCTGTCTCACTTCACTTAATGTGATGATCTTCAGGTCATCCACGTTGCTGCAAGTGGCCCTATTTCATTCTTTTTTATGGCTGAGTAGTACTCCATTATATATACATACATATATATATATATATTAAACTTTTT